AGGAGTGGGGAGTATTAATACACAGCCCACTGCATTGAGAGAGAATTCATGGCAAGCAGAACAGCCTGGACTGGGAAGGAAGAGCCCGCTCTGCTCTTCGACCACTCCTTTTCCCACCCTTCCCAGGCATTCCGTGCTGGCTCTCAGAGGTGACAGCTGCCCAGGGTGAGGCAGTGACAGGCACAGGGCTTTAAGTAACACTTGTAGCCAAGGGCCTGTACTAGCAACAACCAGCCTGGCAGTGGGGGTAAGAGCCCACGTTTGTGAGCCAAACAGCTCATTTTATAAACAAAGGTATTGCTGAACTACCTGAACACAAGTCAAACCCTTCGTAAGGATGGAGAAGAGAGCACTCCCAGCACATGTTAGAGCAAGACATCAACTTAATTAAACATCACCTAAAGCTGTTGCTGTATCCTGTGCACCAGAGAGGGGGTAAGTACCAGAGCAAGAACAAGAGTTCAGCTTAACTTGGTTAAGTTCCTCAGACAAAACGGGCACCAGAACATCTACTCCCTAGCTAAAAATGGTGGTCTTTGGGGTTTTTTTTCTGAACAAAACTTTCTAGAGAGTAAAGCACAGAAGCTGGGCCATGCCAAAACTTGCCTGCCTTTTTCACTGTAGCAAATCTAATCAAAGGTAGCTCTAATTCAAAGTCTAATCTTACCGAAATGTTATTCTAAATAGGATTTTGAGTACGGCAGAGCACCTGTACACACAGAAGAGGGATTGGTAGCATGCCCAGCCTTCTGTTTGCAGGCTTTATTTCTGATCCTGTGGTTGGCCCTGGGCTGCCTGGAGGATATGCTGTAGATCTGTGCACTTCTGATTGATGTGGCAATTCCCATTTCCAGCCCTTCACCGCTGTTTTTTGTATTGGTAATGTTCACACCTTCTCTAAACCCCGGGGCACCTGTGGATTCAAGGGTTCTGTGAAAGGGCACAAAACTACCCTTCAGTCAAAGACTTAAATACACTCCATGTATGTATTTTGAAGAGCCTGGGAGTATTTAACTACTTTGCAGCATCTGAGAGGGAGCCGGGTGTTGGCACATCCTTCTGGGATCTGGTTTTGGAGGTTCAGTCTCCTGTTGGGACCAAATCAAGGTGTGTAAATAGTTAAATTCTGTGTGGTGGAGACAGACCAGCACAGCAGCAGCAGGCTGATTTCAGGGCCTGGATGTAGAACACTGGGAGATGTGCTTAGAGGTTTTTTCTCTTTTTCAATCAGGCCAGGAGTCTGAGTGTGTGTCCCTTGTGCAAGGTCAGTGCCATAACTACTGAATGAATATCTGAGAGAGTTTTTCTCTGTTTTTCCGCTGAAAAATGAATAGGGAAGGATCTAATTTGTGTTTCAATGCAGTTTTAAAAAAACCGTCAAATCTGCCTAAAGACAACAGCAGAAAGGATTCCTTTCCTGGGCATCTGTCAAGTGCAGGTGCCACAAAGGCTAAAACGGGCCACTGAAGACTAATTAATGCAAAGCTGAGGGCAAGAAAAATTACAACAAGTCTCTTTACTTAAATAAAAGGATGCGTTTGATGATTTCAAGATGTGAAGAGATACAAATAACTAAGGCTTGAAAGGCCCCAGTTGATGCTTTGCTGATCCCCTCTCTGCAGTGGGTTTCCAAGAGGTACACTGTGATTATTCCTCTCCTCTGTAGCTGAATGGGGATCTCGGTGTTGGAGTCTCTCCACATTCACACCTTTCTATAAAGAGCTTCCCAGTTAAGACCAGCTTTTCACACATGACAAGGCAGAGCTACTTTGCGTCCCACGAGTCTTACACTGCCTGCCAGAAGGATGTGAGGGGGATGTTTGGCAGCGTGGAGGGGCCCCGGGGGATGAGGAGGATGCTGTTTGCTGTTTTCATTAAGAGGCCTCAGCAGCTCACACTACTCATCTCTGAGGAGGAGTAGCTGGCACGAAGATCCAAACATTGTGATGGTGAGAGGAGAAAGCAGGTGAGGCTTCTCTTCTGTTGGATCCTTTCACCACTCTGCTGCTCCTTGTCCCTCCGCCCTTCCCTCCACTGCCTGGTGCTCTGCCCTGCCTTCCTTCCCTTCTCAAATCTTCTCACCCTCCCACCACAAGAAACCCCGAGGTTCTTTCTTACCACATGCCATTTATCCTGTTAAAAACACTGACAACACGTGCCACTCCTCAAAATCTGTCATTTACTTCTGGGTCTGAAACTCTGCTCCCTCCATCCTCCTCATTTCTTTCCCCTTAGCCTTTTGTGTCCCCCTTTTATGTGAGACCCGTTCCTGGGGCACAGCCAGCAGCTGGAGCAATAGGCAGTGTTACTGGGAGCAGTGCCCTGGTGATTGGGAGGCTTTTCAAAGCATTAGCTAGTTAATCCTCACTAGGTCACTGACGGTAGATGAGCATTGCCTGCCTGGTTTTAGGCCTAAAAACCTGGCAGTATATAATTTGCCCAAGGCCACAAAGTTGATGGATGACAGGGAAACCCTAGGTCCAAGGGTGAGTTCCCTGAATGACAGTGATGACAGTCCGTGGATGAAGGATTTATGGCCAAAATTACAAGGAGAGCTCAGAGAGCCTCACACTCGCTCCCTGCCCAGCCTGTAGCACATCACACTTAGTGGCCTCTACTCACATTCCGAGTCCTCCTCACAGGAACCCTTCTACTTCCCAAGCCAGTGGAGAAGAAGTGGTGTCCCAAGTGAGTTCCCTCTGAAAAGCCAGTTTCCCATCCATCCTGGCAACAGGAACTCTGCAGCAGTTCCCAAATCTGAGAAAAGCCACATCACACCATTCCGAGGGCACGTAGCACCATCCTCACAAATATCCTGGAGTTCTGAAGGTCACCTAGTTAATTATATTAGCTAGACCCAAATTCCTGCATCTGTCAGCAGTTCAAAGGCAATACAGCTGGAAAGCATTAGCACTGTGTTGTCTTTGTACCTCTGCAAAAAAGGCAAATAATAATAAAAAAGAGAACATCACCAAAAGTCCTTCCCAGAAAACCCCAAAGCAAAAGTTACTAGGGGGTTTTTTCCCTTTTTTTTTTCCCCACTGCAAGTGCAAAAAGAACCTGATCTGACATTTGGATGCCAGATGAATCTTTCTGAACTGGCAGTTAGACAAACTGAGGAGATTTGAGATGGTGATGATTGATGGAGAAGATGTAATTACAGGAGTTTGGTTTTGCAGTGACTTGGTTAAAATGTAATGCTACAGAGCACAGTCTGAAGTCCAACAAAGGGTTCTGTTGCCTATTTTTGCGTAGGTGATGTTTTTTAAGCTAAGGGCTGACAAAGGATTAAGAGCAGTTTGATGACCAGCCCAAGGGGAGTTAGGGGAATGAAAAACTTCTATCCTTCACCCTCTCGTTAGCATCTGCTTGCAGAGCTCAGTGCTGGTTTTTTATGACCTTTAGGAACAGTGGCCTGGATAACAGAGTTCAGTATATTCTTATTTTTAGCAGTTAGTTCCCTCCATTTGCTACACTTGCATCCTTCTTCCAGGAGGCAGGATTTACCTACATGAGCCATGAAATAAATCTCTTCAGTTTACAACTTCCATCTTGTTTGGGGAAGCCTGTGCTTTTGCGGGAGCTATGGAAAAAAAATCAAGGCCCACGTTATTCCTGCTCCTCATAGAAAATTAAAAGATACGAATGGGAGGTAAACTGAACCAAGTTTGGATTTACAGTGCAGAGCTTCTTAGGGTCTAAGTGCCTTTGAGATAATTCACAGTTTGGGATGCCCACAGCACAGCTTGTAGGGCTGCAGTGAAGTCATTTGAGCTGTGGAGAAATGGATTTGACCAGAACTGCTCATTTTCATAGAATAGTGCAGACTTTATGTTTTACTCTGTGGCACGAGTCTGATGTGATCAGCTGTCCCACCACCACATGGAAACAAGCCCAGAGGAGGCATTCATCATTTCTGCAGCAATTTATTGCAGTACCCACTTTTTATTGTTGTCAGCAGTGATTATGATGATGAAAAATTTGAGCACAACCTAGATAAATGAATGCATAGTTTTATCTATGATAAATGCATAGTTTTATCTATACCATTCATTTTGCCTCCCTGCTGCCAGCCAGTCTGTCTCCCCTCAGGAGTCAGCGTAGGTCAGATGAGTGAGGAATGAGATGTTTTTGATTCATAACTCAGGATAACATTTGAGAAGTTTCAGGAATACTTCTTATGGATGAGCTGCAACTTCTCATAAGAGTTTGGTTTCAGGGAATGAAGCAGCAGTTATGAAGAGAGAAAATGGAAGTGTGAGGGAGAGAAATATTGCGTTCACATCTTCCATTTCCTCTTTAAACTGTAATTTTCCCCTTCTTTCTCCCTTGCAGTCAAATAATAAAGTGGGAATTTAGTGGCAGGTGACAGTACAGAGATGATACAGGCACAGCATAGGCTTTCTCATCCCCTTCTGCTACACATATCTTCTTTGAGCTGCACTTAACCATGTGAGCTATCACGGAGTCTGAAAGCAGAGGAAAGATCCAGAATAGCTCAAGCAGTTTGTAGGCATTGTAAATAAAACAAACCCAGCTTTCATTTAGAAAAAGAAGGCCATTTTCAGAAACATGTAATGAACCTAGAAGTATTTCTGGTGAGTATAGGACTCATTCTCTAAGCTGGTGTGAAGGTCTGCTAATGAGGGGTGTCACAGCTGAGGCAGCACCAGAAATCACAGCATATAAATAAAATGGTTCTGTAACTAATGGAGCAGGGAGCTTAGAGAAGTGCTGAGCATGAGTGGCGTAAAGGCTTAGTACAGGCTTGGGACAATAAGAGACTTGGATGTGATGCAGTCCCTGGGACCAATTTGGGGCTATAATCAGTGATTCGTGCTGAGAAAAAATTTTCTTGAATATAATTCCAGCCTGACAGCAAAATGATGCTGAAGATGCTTGTAGGCACGAGCAAGGAGCTTAACACCTGCAAGGAATTCAGAGGTGCTGTCGCTGTCAACCCGGGTCTGAATCCCCACACGCACTTTCACCCATCTCCTCCTACATAAGTATTTCCACATCCCACGGGATCAGGCATTTTGCTGTTTCTGCAATGTCTTTATTTGTAAGTGTTGTCCCTGCAAGGGGCTTTCTCTTCCATGCTGAAATACTGTCTGCCCAGGAGCCCAGCCAGAGAACCTGGACACCGCTCAAAATTCCAGTGACTTAATGTCCAGAATCTCCAACAGCTTTTTTGGTGCCTTCCAATTGTCAGGCAAGGCCATAAATGCCAGCCTCTAAAAAGTGTAATTGAGAGTCTCTAGTGCAAAGACCTCAGAGAAATGGCAATTTTTTTTCAACGTGCTTGAAATAAATGCACAAAACCTGCTGTGTGCTATTCAGTCGTGACACTCAGGTAATGAAACACGGACCAGGGAAATTTAGAGCAGAAGCAAAGACCTCTAGGCAACAATGTAATATAATACAGCAAAGATATAACTCAATTGGAAATAGCCAGCTGGCACTAATGGCTCATTCGTTTAGACTCATATTTCTGGGCTGTCTGGCTTTTGGTGAGATGGGAGCAAGGAAAATCAGGCCTGGCTGCCAGTGGCTATCAATAAAAGCACTGTTAAAGAGTCATTGCTCTGCAGCTCAGGAGGCACTGCAAACCACCTTGATCATTGGAAATGGTTTTAGGAAACTGCCAAGGATCTGAGCTTTGTCTTCTCAGGTGCTTGACAGATTCCTAAAACCTTTAAAACACTGCTGGCGATGGTGGGAACAGACACATCCCTGCACGTGGTCAAGGTGCAGAGCTCTGCTGGGCACACAGGGGAAGCCTCAGCTGTGCCTGGGCTAGACCAACAAAACTTGCTTTTAAAGCAAAACGTGAGAACTTGCTGTGCCTGACAACACCCCTTGAAATTTAACCTCCAAACAGCTGTTACTGCGATGCTGGTGGTTGTAATAACTTTAACAAAGTTATTACAACAGTAACAAAGAAAGATACAACAACCAAACAGAACCAAACCTAAACCCCACAACAAACAAACAAAAAACCCCAAACACCTACAAAACACCCAGGACTGTTTTTCCACAGGTTCAGTGCCAGTGTTCTTATGGAAAATAAGTGGAACAGTGCTGAAGTTGACAAGCCCAAGTCCAGAGCCATGAGATGTGCTGGTGGAAGCAGTGGGTACTTCCCATCTGCCCGGGTATGAGCTCTAACATGGGATAATGTGACCCATCTGTCTGGACATGGCCATTTTGGGGTGGAGTGTATCCTGCCCACCTTCTTCCCTCCCCTCTGGTCCTCCAAGCTGCAGAAGCAGGTTTGGCTCTCTCAATAGGGTCAGGACACAGGTTTTGTTTCAGGCCCTGTTCATATGCCTATTACCCTTCTCCCATTTTTTGACCCTCCTTTCTGCCATCCTTGTACCTCCCTTGCTCTGCCTCAGTCCCCTCCTGAATAAATAGCCTGCCCTGATTACTTTTTCCTGGATGATCCCAGTTCTAGTAGATCCATACCCACTCTTTGTATTTCTGCTGCTGTTACCTGGAGGGAACAATAACAACAACAATATAACAATATATATATAACAATATATAACAATATATATATATAACAATATATAACAATATATATAACAATAAATATAACAATATAACAATAACAGGAACAATAACAGTAACAGCAATAACACTGTTACTATTTTGGGGTGCCTGGGTAAGGATGACTGGCTGTTTTTTGCTGGCAAGTATCTGTGGCACAGTGGTTGCAGCTGTGCTGGGGAGCTGAAGGGACACAAACCTCCTGCCCAAGATGGATTAACTTGCTGAATGTTGGAGAGAATGACCCAGAGCTCTTGTAAGCAAAACACAAAGAGGGACTGAATATGTCCCATGGCACTAGTTAGAAATTACTCATAAAGATCCAGGGGACTCCTTCCACTGCACCAGGTTGCTCCAAGCCCTGTCCAACCTGGCCTTGGACACTGCCAGGGATGGGGCAGCCACAGCTTCTCTGGGCAACCTGTTCCAGGGCCTCACCACCCTCACAGGGAAGAATTTCTTCCTAATATCCCATCTAACCCTGCCCTTTGTCAGTTTGAAGCTGTTCCCATTGTCCTGTCACTCCAGGCCCCTGTAAAAAAACCCTTTCCAGCTCTCTTATACATCCTTCAGCTGCAGTACCCTCATATATATATATATATATATATATTCATTTAGCAAGGTTTTTTCATTATTATTTTTATTTGCCTTTCTAAAGAGCGAATAGAACCACACTTTGTGGTGAGTCATCCAAGAATCATGGAGTGGTTTGAGTTGGCCCTTTTGAGGCTGATTTAGTCCTGTCCCTCATTTTGGGGATTGCCTGCAGCTGGGGGAGGGAGGGCTGGGTAAGGTGCCAGCTGCTCCCTATTCCCCATCAAGGTTTGCTTGGAAGGCAAACAGATCAGGGTTTCTGGAGGGAGAGGGTCACACATCTTCTGGTGTCTGTTTAGTGCCCCTCTGCCAGGGAAGATTTGCAGTGAGCAGAGGGTCAATCTTCAGGAATTCCTGGAGGAATTGGAGGGTTTCAGCCTTGGATGGAATGAGCGGATTTTCCTGCAAGCTGTCTACAAACTGTGAGTACTGGCCTCGGGGCCTTTTTGTACCCTGTGGAGATATGTAGGACTGGGAAATGGCATATCTGGGGAGCTGGGGGACGCTGCCAGAAGCAGGTGAAGCTCCGTGGATGTGTTTTTAAGAGTTGTTGTGCTGATATGAGCTCCTGGTGGGAAAGCACTGGTCTGATCCTGCTTTGTTGTAAGAACTTGGATAAAAAGCAGTTTTGTGGCCCCTGGGGAGGCAGGGACAGGCTGTGACTTTAAATATTACACAGCAAAGAAAAATATCTGGAAGTAATCCACCAGTGAGTGTGGTTTGGTTTGTTTTCCCTCTTGTGCTGTGAGGAAGAGGCTTTAGTTTTAAAAGTTGTCTTTTAAGCATAGAAAATGGAACAGCAGTTTGCCAGGCAAGCTTCCCCCTGTGCTAGCACACAGCTGCCCTTCACGTTCAACTGGAGCACATGGAGCTTTGGCTAAATGATGTGTTTCGTTTTTGGGGGGAACTCTGTGAAAATTACTTGTGGATAGATGTTTTTCTTGTCTTGGAAATATTCTGAGGAATTCAGGAGGGCAGTCCTAAATGCTTTGAGTTGGACAACGATTTTGTGGTGGGTTTGCCTTATTGTGAGCTTAGAGAAGTTGAAGGTGTAGTTGAATCTTTCTGGAACATGAATTGGGCTTTTCCCCCAGGGCTGCCATTAAATAGGGGCACACCCTTTCCACCTGTGGGGAGGGATAAGGGAGGGGCAAAGTGAAACTGTGCTTTGCATCCCTTCCCTCTCCTGTTGTATTTTCAAGTGCTTTGTTTGCTTCTGATCTTGGTCTAACAGACTCAAAGAAACTAAAAATATTTATCAGAATGGTTGTGTAATGTCATTGTACCTGGGATGTGATGTATCATGTACTACAGAGGTGTATGAGGAAAAAGGGGAATTTCTGAATGAGTATCAATTGAATTTGGATCAGCAAATGATGTCATTATGTGATGCTTGATTTTTATTTTTTTTAGTGAATTTATGTATATTCATAAAAGATGGATTTGTGGAAAATGAAATTAAGAACTGTGTCCTCAGTCTCCACTGAAAATTAACCTGTTGACTTCTATTGGAAAATTATCAAATCTGTGGAATCATAACCCGGTCTCCCAAAACGTAACCATTGTTCTTTCTGTGTATTTCTCATTTTACGTAACTTTGTATAAACTTAATTTTTGTTGTGGAAAGGCACAGGAAAAGCAGCAACAGAAAACATCTTTAGAATATATTTTGACTTTAGATTTTCAACAAAGGGGTGTTAAAAAGCGACTGTAACTCCCATTTGCCAGTGTGGTTAATGAAGCACTGACTGGTTTATCTGCAGCACTTTTGGTTTGGTATAAAAACCCTTCTGAAGGGTCAGGTTGGATCCAGTGGGCTTGGGCTGTGTCTGTTATCCTTAGAATCAGGTCAAGGATGGGAATAGAGGAGTGCTCTGAGTGTAAATAAATACACACGTGCGTCAGTTCTAAAATTTGTAATAACAAATAGGAAGTTTGGTGCTGATACTGGACTAAAAACTTTTGGGAGTTGTGCTGGCTTTTTTCTGTTAAATACTGATGATTTGCTGCACTCTAGTGGCTGTTGGATAGGAGCCTTGTGCAGGGTCAGTTGTGCTTGGAGAAAGCTGAGGGGTTATTTGTGCCTGACCTCAGAAAGGTTCAACCAGCTTTTATCAATTTTATTGTAGTTGCCCCCATTTTTGCTTATTGTATAATTTAGGCTGCTGAACAGGAGGCTGGGACTGATCCCTCTTCTTTGCTTTATTCCAAGAATAGTCTTTTCAGTGTCTTGAATTCATATATTTCTCTGCATCTGTCTTCCTTTCCCATGGCATTCCCCCTCTCAGCATTAAGCCAGGATCCTGTAGAGGTAGGAGGGCTGGGAGAAACCTGTGTTATGTGTGCCTGGGATGAATGGCTGCAAAATCATGTTCCTGCCTTATCAGCAAATCACTAACTGGAGGCAGAGGGGCTCTGTGCTCTACATTTGTTTCTCTAACAGTTTAAAATGTGCCTGGAAAAAGAACAGGCTGTCTCCAAGATAACACTTCTCCCATGTCATCTCCAAAGCTTTAGCCCAGGTTGCAGCCTGTGCTGTAATTGAGGTTTTCTTTGGGGGTTTATAGGGGGGGGGGGGGTGTCATGGGCAGAACAGGACCTTCAGAACAATTCATTAGAGGAACTTCCTTTGAGTCACAGGGTGCAGAAGGACTCCTTGGCTTTCTAAACTTCTCAGAGAGGGTCTGGGTGTGGCTGTGGGTCCAGTCTGAGCTTTGTCAGATGGTTTATGTCTAAAGGATTATACAGGGGTAATTGAATCCTTTTACAACTTTGCCCCACAGGATTAAGGATAGCAGAGCAAATTTATATATGAAACAAATGATTTACTATGATAATAGTTAGACTAAAAGACTATAATCAGAATTATTTACTACCCAGTCCAGGTAGCTAGAACTGGTAGTGCAGTGCCCTATTTTTGCAGGAATATTGAAGCCATGATATTAAAGCCAGCAAAACCAATTATTGAGTGGAGATTGATGTAACTCATCCTTTCCAACAACCGTGGGACAATCTTCTTCCTCAACTTGAGGACTGAGCTTGAGGGGAGACCCCACTCCAGGGAGGAATCTCCACACACACCCCTGGAAGGGGGATGTTACAAGATCCCACTGTTCCAAAGTGGGACTGGACTTTATTGTATAAAGTGATTGTCAGATGTGTGTCCAGACCAGCCATGTCAGCTCAGCTTTAGATAAGTTATCAGTTGTATGACTTATTTATTCCTTTATCAGGCATTTTATCAGCTCTGCCACATCTTCACCTCACTGTGGGGGATGTTTAACTTTGGGATTGGCGAGTCAGGCTGCTTTGAGCTTTCCTAAACCTCAAAAGCAGTGTGACACCCCCCCACCCCACTTTTCTGTTCACCACTGACAGCTTTCCAAATTGGGAGTTCAAGTTGTTTTACCCCCCTTCCAGGCAGAGCATCCTGCTATGGACTGACTCCTCTTATTTGCATTACTTAAAAGACTTTTCCTTTAAGTCCCTTGGATTCATGTATTTCTCTGTACCTCTCTTTCTTGACCTTGATACTCTCCAACTCAGAGTTAAGCCACCATCCTGTAGAGGAGGGAGAACTGGGAGCAACTTGTGTACTCTGTGCCTGGGATGAGGGGCTGGAAAATTATTTGATTGTCTTGCCAACAAGTCACTGAGTAAAGCCAGAGGGGACTATGCAGTTGTAGCCTTTGTTTCTGTGAGCCTGGAAACAGAATGGGCTGTCTCCAATGTTTTCCCATGTCCTCTCCCCAGCTCCAGTTAATGTTGAAGGCAGTGATGTAACTGAGACTTTCTTTTGGGGTTCATAAAGCGGGAGGGTGTCACAGGCAGAATGGGAGTTCAGACAGACTTGTAGCCCTGCTTTCACAGCCACTTTTTTCAGATTTAATCCTATTATTCTGACAGCTCCTGGGGAGTCATGTTGACTTAAACACACAGAGCTGAAACTATAGCATGGCGAAGAGATAATCCTCATGGTCAGCCACATGCTGGAATACAAAGAGCCAAGAGGGAACACCAGTTAATGAATTGGATTGAGATATTTATGTGTTTATTTGGGTTTTTTTTAATTAATTTAATTTAGTTTTAAGGGAGTAAGATGACAGGGTAGCTCAGCTTTAGCCTTAAGCTCAACAAGAATGATATTGGGCATCATGGTATTGATTTAGTCAATGGACAAAGCTGGTGTCAGATTTATTAAAAAAAGCTTAAGTTTGAGCAAAAAGGGTGTAGATTTGATGGAGTGGATGGAGTCAGTTGGTTCTTGAAATAAGTAAAAACCCTTATTAGACATTCAGTGAGCTGTAAATGTCGGGTCTGCTCAGTGAGACAAAAGGGTCCAGGGCTGTGGCAGTGTGAGTGGGTTTCCTGTTTGAGGATGGTTGTGTTGCTGCACATCCTTGTTTGGGGTTATTTAACTAGCCAAAGAATTGAGTTCTGGATTCAGTCCTGGGTCTAAATATCTATGCAGTGTGTATGTGGAATGAGTGTTACTCCTCATATCCTTACAGTGCATCAGAAACAGGTTCTGCCATAGCTCACCTTACTCCTTTACCTGTAGAGACCAAATTAGAGTAATATATCCATAATAAGCCCCTAGATGTTTAATTGCTCTCTGATAGAGACCTGGAAGACAAGCCATCTCTGTGCAGGGGACTGAAAAAGGTGGCAAAAACTGAGGATACAGCTGCTCTTCGTGGGACTGATGCTACACAGACAAAAATCACCACCAGTGACCTCTTTACCAGATATTCTGAGACGTGACAACTGTTGTAGCTCCAGGCTGTTCTGAAATGCTGCTTCCCACGCCAAGAGTTTGCAGCAGTTGCAGGGTTCATAGCCAGGATAAGGTAAAGGTGCAGGGGAAGCAGTTTGAATTTTTTTTCCTCAGGGAAATACATTAAATTTGGAAGTTGCCCACTATCATAGGCCTGAAGTTCCAGGCTGTAGTGTGGGGAGTACACAACTTGTACCTACAACTTGAGTGACTGCCCATGTATGGGATGAGTTGTCAGATGGAAAGTCAGGCTCTCTGTGTCTTCTGGCCCACTTAATTGTGTGTTGTGAATCCAGCATAATTCATGAGGTGCCTGCAGGTCCTGCCAGGGTGCTCCACAAGTTATAGTCCAGTTTTATGGAATGTAAACTAAAACTATCACTGGACACTAAAAGTATGTGGAGTGACACACTGGAGGGGTTACCATTAGGGGTAATCCACGGAAGGCGACAACTCTCACAGGTGGCACGTGACTCCCTTTGGTGGCAGCTACTGCCAGGATCATCAGAGATGGTTAAAACTCACTGATCAGCTCTGCTGGTCATAGAGCCCAACTCTCTTTCACGGTTAGCTGGGGAATAGAGGCAGGAGGGAGCAGAAACTGTGCTCATAAAACTCACTTTCGAGCTGCTTTACAGTCAGATTAATAAAAGCTTGATGATGTAACTAACTAGCTTTTTTTAATAAACCCCCCTCAGTTTTAGAGTGGGATGATGTTTATTTATATGCAGAAATAAAGGGTTTGGTTTTTCAAGGTGGAAGGAAAGAGCGACTTTAGTTCCTGAATAGTTGCTGCCACTTATGAGGCCGTGAAAAGCACAATGTTAGTCCCTGGATTTAATCACTTGTTTGCTAAAAAATAAACGAATGTGACTTAGGAAAAGGTGTTTACTTTAGGTATTTTGCAGAACTGGCCAAGTCTTTCAGCAAAATAGTGTTTGTATTTGGAAGTGCTGATAGTGTGGCTCAAACTGAGCAGTATTGAGTTATTCCCTATTATTCCCATCTGTTATTTCCCATTTGTCCTCAGGCCACTGTGATGGTAAGTGTGGTGCAGGGGGGTGCAAGTTCTTGAGGGGGCGTTTGTGTAGGGTTTTGAGTTGGATTTGTAGTTGGATTGTTGGACTCTCTGATGGGAAAAAGAAGAGTAGGAGGAAATAGTTGGTAGCTTTTGGTTTAAGTCCTCACTTGACAGGTCTCGCTGCATCTGTGACAAGGGAGTGGTGGCTTGGTGCCCTGCGTCCCAGGCTCTGGGTTTATATGGAATAAACTTAAACTGGTAGCAGACCTCTTCCCAATATTTTCTGTGTGTGGTGTGAGTGTAAGATGTGACAGGATTTCACC